ATTGCATTAACAATCATTTTAACTTCTTTAGGATTTATTGGTGAGTAAACTCTCTGTCCCCCCTCAGACACCAAGACTGGGAATGCTAACGCGTCTGGAGGGACCCAGGTGGCATATGCTGCTCTTATCTGACCCCTGTCTGTGAGAGGGGTATCCTCTCTCAGTTTTTTTTTAATGTGGAGGGGGGTATTCTTATTTATCTTTATTGTTTCCTCTTCTGAGGACTCGGCCTCCGACCATTCGTCTTCTCTCGTATCTCGATCCGAGTCAGAACTCGACTGGCTAGCTACTTCCTATTTCCCGTGCCTTTTTGTTGGGCTCCGACCCTGCCTACCACCCCTGTGGGCAGGCTGTTCCTGGCTCTCCCTGCCCTTCAGTCCACCCTCCACTCCACCTTTCACCCCACCTTTCGCTCCGCCCTTCACCCCACCTTTCACTTCACCCTTCACTCCACGCTCCATTCCTCCCTCTGCTCCACCCTCCTCTCTTTTCACTCTCACTCACATTCTTTTCCCTCTCCCTCTTTACACCTCGCCCGCAACCTTCTTCACATTCCTTATCTCTCCCAACCCCCGACTATGTTCATCTTTCAATGCCAGCATTTGTTCTTTGTTTTCACTAAAGATATTTCTTTCTCGCTGTATGTCTTTTTGCTCAGCGCCATTTTTAAGCCCCTGGGGGGATGCTTTCCCCCTGGCTTTCTCTGCAACACCTCTGGCTTCTTCTGTTAACTTTCTCCAAAAATCTCCTGCTTTCTGCTGTTTGTTTGAGAGCAGATCAGGGTTCGGGGATTGAGGGGACGTATTGCCCTCTTGTGTCCCCTTCGGCTCAGCTCAGCTGCTCTTGTCTGGGGGCTCTGAAGTCTGTGTAGTAGCACTAACTCCCAGTTTCGGGGTGGCCAACAGACAGTTTTTTGCCGCCGTCCAGGTCTCTTGCTTTTGTCTAGCTTTTTTCAAAGCTTTGAAGACCTTACCCCATGACTTAAAATGTTTCATACTACCCACATCTATAGTTTCATTAGCGAGAGCTCTGGTCAGGAATTGTCTCCCACACCTCAGGGTGGAGAATCTCCACTGGTTGCTCTATAACCCCAATATGCAAAAGCCTTGCGATAGCAAGCGTAAAATCCTTAGATTTGCAATGTATTCCCCACTGTTTATGTAATTCAGATACAACCTTTATCAATGATTCCATCTTCGTAGGGACATCTCCCTTGCCAGGACTGGTCCAGCTGGTCCTGACCGCTGCTCCCATTTTCCAGATAATCCTCACTTTCTAGGTTTGAATCTCACTTCTTCCCGGGTTTCCGGCACCAAATGTTGTCTTTTAAGCAAGGCAAACACCCTGGTTCAAGGAACAGCACGATGGTCTCCCCAGGCCACTCGGTCCATTACCCACAGACACCAATGTGATAGATGGAGACAATGGCGTTTATTGCTGAAGAATTTGACATTTTATAACTTAGGGTCACTGTGTTACTCCCATCTGCTTTCATCACAGCTAGGTGCTATTGGCTAATTGCAGAAGGCATTACCATACCAACGAGGGGGGGTGGTTTACTATCTTTCTGTTATCTTCCGAGCGCCGGGCCTTACTTCTACAGGACACCTGCCCTGCTGTGGATCACCCAGCTTCTCCAGAAGCCACCATCCCTTCAGGAGGCTGCTCCCGGCAAGATTCACCATCCATGGGAGAGCCTCAACCCTTGCAAGGATGGCACAGCAGAGAAGACCCTCCATCCATTCAAGAAGCTCATGCTGTCAGAGAACGTCCATGGTGCCAGGAGCCTCTGCTATCTCTGATAGCCTCCATCCCTCAGAGAGGCTCAGTCAGACCTGTCAGCCTGCAGAAGGTGCAGAGCCCAGGGACAGGTCTCCCAGCTCCCTTGGACCCTTGGACCTCAAAAACACAGGCGCAACCCTGACCACTGGCATGCCTGGGAAAACCCACAGGTCCAAGTGGGAGCCCAGCCTGATCCAGGGAAGGCATCTCAGGAGCAGGTGGAGGAGCAGCTAGTATCCTGGAGCCAGGAGCTGCCGGACCACAGCTCCCAGGTGACGGTGCTGGACGTGCCAGCTGGCACCAGCCCGTGCCTGGTGGAGGAGACAATTCCTGACCAGGGAGTTTCCTCCATCTCCAGGAAGCTGATCCCATGCAGCCACCGACTACCAGCAAGGCCTCTGTACCAGCAGGTGAGACCTGAGAAGATGTCTGAGGCTCCCATGGGGCTCTTGAGGGACATTCCCAGGCTAGGCCAGGGCTTCTGAGAGCAGCCTAGTTGCTGGCTGTTTTCTAAAGACCCTGATGCCAGGGCTACAAACAACCCCTCTTTGCTTTGCAGCTGCTCCTGGGACCCCCCTGTGCGAAGCCTCGGGCTGTAGCCCCGGCCGTCCACAAGAGCAGAGTCCAGCCCAGGACGCCAGGGACAGTGACAGTGCCACTCTGCCTGGCTCCACTCGGGCTCCTGCAGCCAGCTCTGCGCCCTGCCCTGGCCCAGCTCTGCTGCTCACCAGCCCGATGGCTGCAAGCCAGTGGCTGCTGCCCGGCACACAGCAGGAAGCAGGTGAGAGCAAGGTGGCCAGCGCTGGCTGGGGCCGCTGCACTGGCAGGCACTCAGGGGGTTCCTGGGCACAAGGCTGATGGCTCGGTCTTGGCCACAGGGCACAAGAAGGAGCTGCGGGAGCTGTACCAGCTGGGCCCACAGCTAGGGAGCGGTGGCTTCGGCACCGTTTTCTCGGGGACCCACCTCTCGGATGGGAGCCCAGTAACGGGCTGGGATGGCCGGGCGTGGCAGGAGGGCTGGGGGCAGCACGGGGCAAGTCTCAAGCCCCCCTCTCTCCACGGTTTGCAGGTGGCCATCAAGCACGTGGCTTGGGACATGGTCCTGCAGTGGGATGAGCTGGTGAGTGAGCAGGGACTGCGGGACAGAGCGGGCCGTGGCAAACAGGGATAAGGCCGGGATTGAGGGCAGGGCATGGCTGGGAGCAGCGGACGTGGACTCAGCGTGTGAGGCCCAGCACGGCGGGCCCGGGGATGCCAAACAGCAGTGGTGGGTCCAGGCAGGGGCCACCTCCCAATCAGTCCCCAGGCGGGAGGGATGCCAAGCAGCAGGGAGGCTGCCCAAGGTGGCACTGGGGCATCCCGGGCAGGGGCATTGCAGGCACAGGGCAGCTTCAGGCCCTGTGATGGAGACATTGTTTCGTCCTCACAGCCTGACGGCACCCGTGTTCCCATGGAGATGGTGCTGATGGAGAAGGTGGGCTTTGGCTGCTGCAGAATCATCCAGCTCCTTGACTGGTTCGAGCTGCCTGACAGCTTCGTGCTGGTGATGGAGCATCCAGGATCTCTTGCACGTCCTGCTGGAGCAAGAGTTTCTGAGCGAGGAGGCGGCACGTTGGCTTTTCTGGCAGGTGCTGGAGGCCGTGTGGCACTGCACCGCCTGCAGCATCCTGCACCGGGACATCAAGCCAGAGAACCTCCTTGTGAACCTGGAGACTGGCAAACTGGAGCTCATCGACTTCAGTTGTGGCACCTTCCTCCAGGAGCGGGCCTGCACACAGTTTGCAGGTGAGCCCAGAGCATGGGCCCTGCTCCCAGTGCCAGGCACTGCACAGCCCCATTCCCTCCTGGGCCGCAGAGTGAGGCATTCAGCCATCTGTCGGCTGCCCTGTGGCACAGGGCAGGTGCTGTGCCCCAGGAGCCGGCTGCCAGCCCTGCTGACAGAAAGAGGCTGCAAAAGCTGGGCCCCGGCTCCTCGGCTTGGCAGGCCCGCAAGGCCTTGGGCTGCTCCGCTGGCCTTGTCAGCCTTGCAGAATGGTTTCTTGGACTTGGCCCATTGTCAGGGTGAGGCAGGCAGGCCTTGGGGGGAAGTTGTGGCCATGGCTGCAGCCCCTGCCTCTGGCAGGAGGCTGATGCCAGGCTCTGGAAGGCAGCAGCCTGCGCCTGAGAAGCGCTGCCCATCACCCCATGGAACGCTCACGTACTGCCCGCCCGAGTGGATCGGCCTGCGCTGCTACCATGGCGATGAGGCGACCATCTGGTCCCTGGGCGTGCTGCTGTTTGAGATGGTGTTTCTTGCCCTTCAAGAAGGAGCGTGACATCGTGCTGGGGCAGCTCTTCTTCCCACAGGAGGTCTTTCCAGGTTGGTATGCAGCCTGAAGAAGGCAGGCTTTGGCAGGTGGCACTGTGCAGCCCAGCCTGGCCCTCCCGCAGCTGCACGGGACGTCCATGTGCCCTCAAGGGCCAGCTGCAGCAGGTGGCCTGTGACAGGCTGGGTGTGGCACGCTTGGCTGAAGGAGGGGATGCTTGTCCTGCTTGGCAGCTCCAAGCACATGCAGCGTGGCCCGGCTTCTGCAGGCACTGGGAGCAGCTGGGCAGGAGCCTTCTGCAAGTGAGCGCTGCTTTCTGCCTTCTCTCCCCAGAATGCCAACATCTGATCCGCTGGTGTTTGTCCAAGCACCCCATGGATTGGCCAGTGCTGGAGCAGATCTTCTACCACCTTTGGGTGCTGGGCAGGCATTTCTGATGCCTTGCCGCAGCCTCTGCAGCACCCAGTTCTCGTGTCCCATGCAGGACTGAGGGCCCAGGAAATAAAACAACCCGAAACCCACTGTGGGCTGGCAAGTCTGGTCCTTGTTAGCAACTTCAGCTAAGGGAACCTCTTGGCCAAAGGGGTTATCAGAGCACTTCAGTTCCCTTCAGCCTTGGTCAAGCTTTTGATTCCTTTCTTCCAGATTGTCCTTCAAAATCAGAGGGAGGTGGAGCCTGCACCAGTCCCCCCAAATCTGTGGAAGGCAGAGACTACTCCCAGGCCCCTCAAAACTGGAGGAGGAAGGAGACAATCCCTGGGCGCCCCGAACTGAAGGGAGATAAATACCCGACCCCTCAAAATAAGAGATGGATGGAGCCCACAGTGGCCCCGAAGTCAGAGGGGGAAGGGGAGACTACAAGCCCCCCCAAAGAGGAGGGGAATTGTGCCTGTGCCAGCCCCACAAATTGCAAGGGGACAGAGAACACCCCTGGCCTGGCAAAGTGCAAAGAGCAGCCGGAGGCTGCCAGGATGGTGAAAACACTGGCACCCCCCAAATCAGAGGGGGACAAAAAGCCCACACAGGCTTCCCAGCAGCAGAAAGGGGGCAGCAAATATCCCCTGTCCCCCTAAGTTGGAGGGGCACAGACACAACTCCCGCCCCCCCCATAGCGGAGGGGGACAGACATAAAAGGCCCCACAAAAAGAGCATGGGGAACCAAGAGCACTGCCGGCCCTGCAAAGGTAAGGAGGATTGAGAAACTCCCCATCTGTCTTTGTTTTGGAAGACAGGTGTCTGCTAGGGAGGGCAGGGGCCTCCCCTGGAATGAAAATGTAGACCCCCTCCCTCGGAATTATTATAATTTTGAACTCAGGGGGCTCTCAGGCAGAGATCTGGGGATAGGAATAACAGTTCTTTACTAGTGTGTATAATGAGGCACACAAACAACAATAACTACAGCGTTAACAACAAAACAGAACCAGGGACCCTGTGGCAGCTTTCTTGGCTGGGACGGGAAAGGATGGAAGAGAGGCTTTGCTTCACAAACCCCCTCCAGCGGGCAGTCCTGGTGCTCCTGCAGGGCTCTGAAGAACACTCAGCTGGAACAGTAGGAATGAGCTGAGATCCCGGGTCAGTGGCTGAGGTGGATCAGCAGCTCCGTGGTGGTGCCTGGCACTGCTACACATCCTGGCAGGACAGGGGGTGTGAGGCCACCAATGAAGAGAGAAGAAGAAGAAGAAGCAGCAGCTCTGTCTGGGTGATGGCAAATTCCCTTCTCTCCGCAGCAACAGCTCCCACCAAAGTGTCCTTCTCTGAAGCTGAAGAAGCTGCCAAACTGTGCCCACCTTCCCCTTTTCCTTTCCCCTTCCCCCCTGGGCCCAGCCAAACTTTGTGTTTCTCAAGTACCACCTCTAGTCAGGTTTTCCCCACAACTGATGGGTAAAAATTCCACAGGTGAGCCAGAACTAAAAAGATACCTAACCCCCAACAGCTTCTCATCTCCATCTCTTTGCACTCCAAAAGCCAAGAGGAATTGATCTGTCACTTCAAAACAACTCAATCCCACTGAGAACAGCTCCATTTTACCCCAAAAGAGCTCAATCCCAACACAAAAGGGCTTGTTCCACCTCAGGAGATCTCAATCCCACACCAAAATGACTCGGTTCCACAGCCGCCAGGTGAGATGGAGTTGGAAGGTGTTCTGGTTTAGGGCAAATTTGGAAGAAAACCTCTCAGTGGGGTGCCTCTAACAAGCAAACTAAAGCAGCCCCTCCCCTGAATGTTTCATGAAAAATATTTTCTTGGAGAAAAGTGGAAAACGCAGTTTATTTAACAATCAAAGTATCCACAAGCATGAGAAAGATGAATAATATTAAAGAATGAATCCTCTGGCTGTTTGAAGAGATGCCAAATCCAGAAAAGTCCTTTCCATGGGGTGTAGCTCAGCTCGCTCAGTCTCTTATCAGTTC